AGAGAGAGAGAGAGAGTATTGATACCGTGCTATTATCGTTAAATGGACACGTTTCTATTAAAATGCGCGAACAATGCTCTGATGCTTTTCACGCTGTACTACACTGTCAGAACAGGCGGCGACTTTTACATTTCTAATTAATCGTTTCGATCGCGTCATTACCACGTCATATACCTACGATTCTACCATTGAAAATTACAAATCTATAATAGAAATCTGTTTCAGTTATCATATCCTATAATTACATATATGTATATCGAAATCGTAACAACGTCGCATTTCTAGTTCGCATCGAGTTTCGAAATTACGATATTTTCACGACCATCACACAACGGGGACGAAAACGAGGAATCGCCGCCTACACACACACACACACACACACACACATATAACATATATAGGGATATAACCGTCACATTCTTCCGGTGACGAGCGGTCAAATTCGCTATCCGAATCGATAGCGGTTCGGAAAGCCACTGTGAGGAATAGAAAGTATTCGTAAAAAGGTGCTTTAACGAGGTGTTTGGCGCGTTAGATGAAACCAAAGGTAAAAAAAAAAAGAAAGAAAAAAGAATAAAAAAAAAAAACTAATCTAGAAACTTGGGTAACTCGGTTAACGAGTCTCGGTTCGAAGATCAATTAGTGTGTCTCGTCGTGGAATTATGATGATCGTTCTCGAAAGGCGGAAGGAAATTAGGCGTCGTTCGATTGTCGTTTGAATTCGATTTGACACTCGGTTCACTTCGTTTGTGACAATTTCCCGGATATATTATATCGTTGATCCGACAATATGACACGCGTTCCCTTCTATTCATTTTCTAAGGTTATTCGTCAACAGCGCGAAAGCATTTTTTAACGTACGTATGTTAAAACACGATGAAATTATCGTATTATTATATATATACTATATATATATATACATACATTACAGAATGGTCGAAGTTTTTTCTACGCAGGTAATCGAAGAGAAAATTAGTTAAAGGGGGAAGGGAGGGTAGAAAAAGAAAAGAGGAAAGAGGAGATGTCGCCTTCGTGTGACGATCGTCGCGAACCGTGATGCGAGGGCACGCGAGTCCTATTAGAAAAAATTATGAAGTGATTTATAAAGAAATGTTATATTTACAATAAAAAAAAGAAAAAAAAAGTGCGCGAAATTGTTACGTGACGTTTTGTGAGAATTGTTGTAAATACCTGTCGGTACGAGAGTAATGGCAGAGTATAAGACTGTATATTTGAGGAGAGATAGAAATTGTAAGTCGTTACAAATAAAGAAAAGAAGAAGAAGAAGAAAAAAAAAAGAGAAAAATAAACGGAATAAATATATTGAGAAACAAACTTTGTTCCTCCGATTCTACGTATATTCAACCTAGAATAAATTTCTAGTATCGAATAACATTGGCGATATATATATATATATATCCTTTAATAAAAATACTATTCTATACCTTTCTCTCTGTGGGAAAAGAAAACAATATCCTATTTTAACGTGAATCTTTCGTTTCACTCGTACAGGAGATAGATTTTAAAAAGAAAAGAAAAGGAAAGGAAAGGAAAGGAGAGAAAAGGGAAAAAGAATAAGTCGAAAAATGAGGAAGAAGAAGAAAAAAATAGAAATCTAAATCGTTGGAATATTATCTTGGAAACTTATCGACTGCTCTTCACCACGAACCCTTTTTCCACGAACAGAAACGTGGTCCCAATATCTTGCGCTAGAATGGACATTTCATTTCGTTAACACGATTACGCGTATCCGTGCGCGTAGTATCGCCAACTCATTTTAATTGGGATTACGTTTCAATTAAAACTCCGTTCCCCATTAGGCGGTACCCGTTGAGTTTTCGAGAATAATTGATACGAACAACACGTTATCCGATTGCGAGCCTGGATAAAATATGCATGTTTGCCAATCAAAAGGTGTCCAGGGTTATACACACCTGCTCTCGCTCCCTTCATTGTCTGGATAAATACGCGATTATCGACGCTTCTCTGCAGATTCCACGTGTACGTACAGAGAGTATGTGTTACGTTCAAGTGAGAATAATGGAATATCTGGCAAAAAGTTGAAGCTACGAGAAAAATTACTTCTTACTGGAAAAGTTGATTGTTCTTTTCTTCAAACATTGTTTTCCTTGTCCTTCATACGTTTCAAGTTTCAACACAAAGTAGTTTAATTACTTTCTGATCTGCGAAATAGCAAATTGCATGGATTAGTTTTAAAAATAATCTAGTTTCATCATTAAAAAAAAGAAAATATATTATCTTCGTTATTCTCCTTTATATTTTATGTCGAAGCTTCGCTTCGATAAACGAATAAATAAAAAATTCTTTTGCAACGGTCGTTTCGTAAGATACCATTGTTCTCTCATTTAAAAGTAACACTTTGTACATTCGATGCACAAACACTGGATACCTTTGGCTCGGTCCCGATGAAATTTTAATGATGCACAAAATCGGAAACTCGTTCGCTTTTCGCCCTGTTGTTTCGGCTGGTTTTACACCGCGATACGCAACGACAAACCGCGTTTCCATTCATAAATTAAAACGTATTCGGACCAATTACATTACGGTTCACCTTACGCGAAAATTAGTTGGGCCGAATTTTATCGGGCAATTTTTATTTAACGTTACCCGATATTTGGGAAATTCTTTTTATATTGAAATTCTGATCGACTAATTTTTTTTATTAACCGGATCGTTGCATCGTTCAAGTATCCGTTTAATTTTCTAGAGTAGTTCCAAAAAAAAAAAAAAAAGACTCTTTCGAATTGGAACACGAGAATTAAAAAACGTTGTATCATTAATTCATTTTTTGCGACAATCTTCATACGCTCTATCTTGCAATAAAATTCCTCTATTTTAAAAGATTTGATTTTAATGAAATGTCGCGTGTAGATAAAT